TTTTTATTAAGAAGCTTGCCTAACAACTAAAAACTATGCTTTTATATATATATATATATATATATATATATATATATATATATATATACTTATACTACTATACCAGGTATATGTGCATACCTGGTGACCTTTACTGTGTGTTTTGAGAACCTACCTTTACTTGTAAAGGTACAAGTAAAGCACATTACACATGTGAGTAATACAGTTAGTTTGACCAACCAATTAGCAGTGTTGGGAACAAATTACTGAAAAGCAACTAGTTATAGTTACTAGTCACTTTGCCAAAGAAGTAAGTAAGTTAGTAACTCATTAACTGCACAATAAAACTAACTAGTTACTAGTCAAAGTAACTATGCAGTTATTATTCTATGATCTGAAATTTAAAAGAATTTGGATATTTTACTGTTTTGAAAACTTGAATTACTATGGTGGCAAATTTTAAACATAAATGATTGTTGATATTGATTGTTTAATCAATCAATTAATTAAATAATTAATTAATTAAAATGACTTCATTTTTGAAAACATTGTTTGCAATCTGCATCATTTTTTGTGTGGTGGGACAAGTGTGTTTTAATATATTATTTTAGATGTTCTTATGTTTTTTTTTTTATTATTTTATTAAAAAAAAATTGGATGTTTGAGCACTTTAGGTTTTTGCAAATTGGATATAAGATATAGGTATACACCTTTGTGGCTGAAGAGGAGACAGAGCCTTAAGTTTGTGTTTCAGCAAATATGTGGTTTTTAGATAGAATAGAAAAGAATATATAGTAATAGCGGTACATTTATGCCAGAAATGTTTCAAATTAAGAGAGTTTGGAGGTTTGTGCGCTAAACACAGGCTGCCTCTTGGCTCATAGCATCACTCAGTTAGAGCTCAGACTCCCTACGCCTTGCAGAATTAAGATAAAATAGGTTTAATCACATTCTCTGCACATCCTTAGTTCTAAATAAAGTTTCCACTTCCTTTCAGGAAGGTTTTACATTTGTCACTGAGTTTCAAACTTAATGTGTTTCATAGTCAGCTTCAAGGCCCCCGCTTAGTACCTTTTGCTACATCTGTTTTGTTTCTTTTCTTCTGCTATTTCAGAGTTTACAATGCATTTGTGTGTGTAGAGAAGGACAGGGAGGACATGTGTGGATATACTCAGCTGTTGCCTCTGCTGTGAAGCTGTAGCCGAAAGCCGGATGAATAACACAGTGAGAGAGGAGCAAAGTAACACCCTCTTCTTCCCCCTCCTTTCCTTTTGTCTCAATCTTCTCTCTCCATGCTTGTCTCTCCCAGGCTGTCATTGTGGAGGATTGCTGCAGGCTGCAAGGCAACTGTGAGAAGTTCCTGGGAGTGCTGAGAAGCAGAGTGGGATTTGCTCACAGAGAAAGAGAAGACCCAAAACCCTTTTACCTAAAGAATACTAAAGAGACGCCTTCTTGAATAGGAAGCGGTACTTCAGGGATTAGAAGGAAGAAGAAGCTTGCAGGATGGTGGTTACAGTGTGGCTACCTGCAGAGCGGGCCTTGCAGGTTGTTCTTCTGATGGCTGGACTTGCATCTCTGAGCCGTGGTTCTGATGGTAGGTATCTTGCACTAAAATTTTTTTATTCAAGCCAGCATAAATACTGCAATAAATAAGCAAAGCCTCTTTTTTACGTTTTTGTATGTAAAGTTTGTCTCATTAGAGTGATTGTTCATTTTATATGCTAATTAAGTTTAGAGCATGTTTTTACTTGTTTGCTTTAATTTTACTGGTTGATAGTTGTTCCTTGGAAGTCATGTGTTTATTCCATTATAATCAATGAACTGAACCACTCTGGTTGTTTGAAGATGGACAGCCAGTCTTTTACGATGAATGCCAACAGCGTCACGGTGCGCGGAAGGGTTTTGGCGATGTCAGGGGTCAGAAGACTCCCACCTTTAAAATGCTTCTTTATTCTAACTTAAAGAGATGAAGATGATGTTTCCAATATAAATAAAACAGGTTGGGAATTTTCACGTATTATAGACACATATCCATACTAATGGGAATTGTATAAATGTAGACGTATTTCCAAGTCATATAATTTTTAACCATTATTTTTTGTTGTTGTTGTTGATTATGCACCGGACCAAAACATATGTTCAAAACATTGTTTTAAACTTAACCTCTGTGTATTTTTTCTCAGGGCATTTTTTAAAAGGTAAGATCTTCTTAGACTCTGTAATTAGAAAAAGAAACAGTGAACCCTCATCTTGATCCCTGAGTGGAGGAAGATTTTTATTTGCAGTTTTCAGCAGTACTCACACAGTTTGTTGCCAAGTCATAAAATTATCATTTGGGATCCACATGTTCCAACAAGCACGAAATCTTTATTGATGTTGCCATAAAAAGACTATCCAGAACAAAGCCTGTAGTTCTTTGGATTCTTATTTTATTCTGAGTGCAAGTTTGTTTTTTGTTATTTTTTTTTCTAATTTTCATAAAATCTTATATTAAACTGCACTTAATGTGCATATTTTACCCTGATATATACATGTATATATATTTTAATTTGAAATGTTTTATTCACATAATAACTAATTAGGTTTATTTTGTTGGTTCTCCAACATTTAAAAGTTTATCACGTCTTAAATTAAGTTGGGGAAGAACTTTGAATATAGCTTCATGGTAAGAAACATATAAAGAGTATAAATTAACACTTTGTACAAAGGCACAGAGTGCTGAAATTGTGTTAAAACTAAAGACCAGCTGTAAAATCCCAGACTGACAGTGAGGCTCTGAGCTAAATCTAACTTTCACAGTTGGTCAAGAAATACCTCAGCTGCTGATGAATGCTCCTTCACAGAATTGTCTTAACTCTTCTCTGGATGGGCAGACCTAAGATCTGAAACTATCGGTTGGGTCTGAAACGAAGTGGCAGCACATATGTAAAAAATGTTGAAAGATGTAGAGAAAAGGTCAGTTAAAAAGAAGCCTTAATTCCCACTTTCCAAACATCAGCAATGGGAACTAACAAAAGGATAAAACCCATCTTCTTGCGTGTTTGCTGACTAGCCAATATTCACAGACTAAAAGTTGTTGGATTCCTTTTCAAAGTTTGGTTCCACAGTGTTTCTGTGCGATTTGATCTTCAAAAGGTCGTCCTAATGAGCTAAACATGTGGGAGGTTGCCATAAATCTGGGCAGCAAGGTCAGTTAGCCACCTGTTTCTGTAAACTGGTGAGGTTCACTGAAAATAGATGAATACCAGACCAGTTATTCAGAGATTGTGCGGCACATGCTTTAAAATTTGGTTAAAGTTGGCATTATAGTTATTTTATAAACTATGTTACCTAAATCTATTTTCTTGAATGTCATTTTATGAATTGAGGTCATGTTGGTGGCCTTTGTGAAGGACAAACTAACTAGAGATCCACAGAGGAGGGGTTAAAACATGTATCGGTTTTTCTGATAACCCCTACATGTAAAGATGCAAATTCAGATTTGAATGGACTATAATTTAATTTTTATTGCTAAAAATTGCAACATTTGAAATATCCTTTAATTTCTTTTCTGTTGTGAGCAGTTTAAAACATCCAGGTAACAGCAGTTACTGTTTAGCATATTTTTTTGTAATTTTTAAACCAATCCAAAATTATTTTGGATTCATATTTTAAACTCTCCACAGCATCTTATATTAGCAGTTTCCATGGTTGCGTGATTAACATTACTGAAATAACAGTTTCCATGCGTATTCCCCAGAGGGTGTAAAGATCCTTTCCTCGAAGATTCTCAAAAGGCTTCAACATTTCTAAACCCAGCATGTTTTTACCAGATAAAAGCTCAAACGGCTAAAAGAGAGCAACTTTGTGGCTCAGCCTTCTGATAATTGCTAAGTATTGCTTAGACTTAGACAACTTGTATTGTAATTTTGTGTATGCAACACAAAATTTCATTTTGTACATCTTTCATGACATTTCCATTTCTTAAAGTGCAGCAGTGATCAAATATAAACAGTGTTGGAGAGAAAAACATGGTGAAAAAAGAAAAGCATGAATAAAGTATTAAACCTCTTATTTACTTTCCTACTGCCTGAATCAGCTGATGTGACATACAGCAGTGTTTTGTAAAAACTGCATTTTCCTTTTAATTTAATCCCACGGAACGATCAGACCCCAGAGAGTCACTCAATATTCCCATGGATAAAAATGTTTTCTTTATCTCCTGAACTATCCTGTCTTCATTTTTGCATATTTAAAGACAATGTGATGAGGAAACATGACTAGTTCTGAATTTTTCATCATTTCAAATGCAGACTCTTATTTAGATGGTAGAACTTGGATATCACCAGAGATTGAAGCTTGATCCCACAACTCAAAAGTCAGGCAAATGATCATAATCTTCATACAAATGGCAGAATTGTCTAATACTGATATGGCTTTGATGCATCTTTTCGATGTTACGTGTTGAAGTTAGTGTTAAGCAGTAGGGTTCGAGTATAGCATGCCATAGAGATCATGCATTGTAAAACAGCAGCAGTTGGTCAGCACCTCTGGGCTCCGTCTGTGCGCTGCTTCCTGTCAGGATGTGGATATGATTCCCCTCATATAGAATATGATCCTTGGGCAGATGTGGTTTTCCAGCAGTCAGACAGGCCTTGAAGTAAAAGCTGTACATGATAGTGCTACACTGGCTCATGTCTGACTGCAAGATTCTTTTATTTGTTTGTGAACCTCTGAATTGTTTTTACATTTCTTTGATGTAAGAGGGAAAATGACACAGAGTAGTATGAAAAAGAAGATGGTCCTTTCAGTTATTGCTTTCTTTCTCAAACCTAAATGTTTCACATCTTCAAAGATATTTTAAGTAAATAAAGATACCCGGAATAAATCTGATGATCAGTTTTCAGGTAATGATTTCATTAACTGTGTGTTTAGTCCCCATAAATAAGTTCAGTTATAGCATGCTGCTCTGATACCTGCTTAAACTGTCGAGTTTACTCATATCCCTCATAGATTTGGGTTTCAACATTAGCTTTTTTTGCTATTTAAACCAACATCTTTATTTTCTATCTTCTGTTCGTTCAGCCAATCACCATTCAAAGCTGATAAATAATCTGTGAAGCGAAATAAATTTAGGGTGATCATCAAAATGTCACTAAAAGCCAATAAAAAGTTGGTCAAAAAAATACGAGAGGGATTGGATTACTAGAAGATGTTTAATTTATGTATTTTTTGACATACCATTTTTCATTTATCAGTAAATAAAACCAAATACATCTTTTCTTTTTTTTATTGTTGTTTGACTTAAAATAATATAAATCTAAATCTTAAGGTATGAATGATTTGGACTTAATTGTTAAAGTAAGAATAATTATTTTGGAGCTGGGGATTAATATCTTCTAATGTGTGAGTTTTTTTTTTTTTAAGGAAAATTCAAGCTCTTTGTCAGTTTGAGGGTTTGAATATATTAATAATTTGATCTTTGGTGGGTAAACATTTTTTGCCGTTACAAAAAAAAATAAATAAGAAAATTGGACAAAGTTTGCAGAGACTCACGTTAAATTTGATGCACTTAATTTCCATTATCTCAGTGATCTTAAGTATTCCTATTCTTAGATTATATGAATATTTCTTCCTAGTAAAAACAGGAACATATATCCATTATTGTTGGCTAAAGTAACATGCTGTGGTGAGACTGTTGTTGTAGTCTCTCAGTACATCTGTAATGAACCCCAGCATACTGTGGCTTTTTTCCAGTAAGTCCAGACCACACAGACAGATAGAGGAGCAGGGAGATGCATTGATGGGAATTGTGGGGAGACAATGTTTAAAAAATGTTGCAGAATAGAAAGGATCAAGGTTGTTTGCTGAAACCTACACAAAATACGGGAAAAAACAGCATCTTTCCTTTTCCTTTTGCGTCCGCGACGGTGTATGCAAGACATTAATAGAGATGAGGGCATTTTAATAAATAGAATCAAAATGTTAATGTATTGCAATGATTGCATCTGAAAAGCAAAACTTAAGTATCCTCAAGTATTATAAATGTTTCTTAATTAAAACTATGTCCACATACTGTACAGCTACCTTTTAATAAAACTTACTATATTTCTTTGGAAAATTTAGTTATTTCTCAATTTAATGAAAGAAACACATTAAATACATTATTATACACAGAATGATGTTTTTAAGCATTCCTTCATTTTTATTATGAAGCTCTACTTGCAACCAATGAAAAGTATAGTTAATACTTGTTTAATTTCAAATAATTTACAAAAAGTAGCTTTGATTAGATTAAATGGCCTCACTGGAACACGTATTCTATTTTGTTAAGATATACCTGCTCTTTATTTGGTTAGAACTCTTTGTGCCTGGCGTTACTGGCATGGAGGCAATCAGTCTGTGGCTCTGCTAAGGTGCTCAGAACCAACCAGGGAGTTAATCCAATGGGGACCTTCAGCTTGTCTTATGTTGTTGGGTTCGGAGCCTAACTGGTAACAAAAAACTCTGCATAAATCTCTACTCTATAAAGGATAACTTGTGTCTGACATTTGAAATGGTAAAACAATGCTTGTATAAATACAGGTTTTGATAAACACTATCTTGTGTCAAAGC